CAGCCCCAAATGGCACCTGTCTCCCCTCAATTCTCCAGGCTCTCTTTGCGCACCACCAGCTGTTGCCTTGGGACTATCAGGGGTGCCCTTCCTTCTCTTCCCAAACCTCTTTTTCTGCCAGCCCCCTTAACTGAAATAGCTTCCCCAGGTTCCAGGGGCTCTTACTAAATGTAGCACAGGGACCCCAGGATATACTGATTCCTATTATATTCTTCTAATAGCATCTCATGCTATTTTTTTTCAAGTCACTTATCACAATTTGCATTCAAATTTATTTATGTGCACCTGCATTTCAAAAGATCATGTTCCCATTAGATATAAGTTCTGTGAGAACACATAACATCACCATTTTGTTTGCCAATGTATCTTTAGCACAAAACCTTCATGTAGTAACATCGAATAAATGAAATATCAACTAGTGAATGAGTGCATTCTTAATTAAATGATTAAAGATGTGGAACCAGTCCTCGTCATGAAGAGCCAGACCCCACTTTTTCCTTGGCTGGACAATCTAATACCCCACCTTAAGAAACCCACAGAGTGCAGAGTATGGAGAAAGTCTAGCTTTGAGCTAGACGGTAGAGTACCTCAGTGACATTTCCTGAGTGGGTCACTTTTCAGGGGTGACATAGAGGGCAGGTAGAGGAAAGGCAGGGCTTTGTGGAAGAAGAACAATAATCCGGGGTTCCTGGAGAACACTGGCTCTGTAAGCAGGTTGGGACAAGAGTGGAAGGCCAGACATAGTGGGTGCCATGGCGGCATGTGCGTGTTCAGACAGAGCTGTTTTCAACTCGTGGTTGTCTCACTGCTGTGTGATCTTCAGCAAGAAGTCTAACCTCTCTGAGCTTCAGTATATTCTGCAGAGAGGAACCATGGCCACTTCCTGTCTAGTAGCTGCGAGGAATAAGGAGGCAATGTCTGCAGGGGGCCTATTGAATGTGTGCTCGCAGTATGTATAATATGATCTCACGAGGATGAGGCTGGTCAGCCTCTTGTGGCAGGGCTGTGTTTATTTCTAGCTCATCGGTCCAGTGAGAAGCACAGTGCCCAGCACATAGCAGCTTCTTTAGAAAGCCTTTATCAATGATTCCATATGTGGTTGGATATTTTTTCCTTCAGTAGGATTCCCCATTTCCAGGAAGAATTCCCTGATTCTCTGTGTATAATTTCCCTTCTGTCAATTGCTTTCCTGTGAGTACCTCAACTCTCTGCCTGGAAGCTTCACAGCTGGAGGGTGAGTCAGTGTGTGCACCTGTGGGGGCCACTCTGTCCTGTGTCTTCAGTGAGACCCCACCCTCCTTGTGCTCTGGTGGGCAGTGGGAACGAGTTGGCCCCAGTTTGAATGAGAAGATGGCAGAAGCAAATGGGAGGAGAGAGGGTTCCTGTATTATGGAGAGCCCAATTGCTTCTTTGAAATTGACCTTCATTTATTTGGAGGGGAAAGCAGTTAATTCAATAATGGCTTCCTGGTGCCTTTCAGCATTTAAAAAGACAGAGGAATGATTTGGAGCAAGGCAAGGTTCCAGTGTTTTCTAAATAACTCCCTGAGCCCAGCTACCATTTAGCTGCCCAGCACTTACTTCCTGCTCTCCCCACTGTCCTCCCCAAGGCAATGCACATCCCTCAACAGCCCAGCCTCTTCTGGAGACGCTGAGCAGGTCTGGGGGAGTCAGGGAGGGAGGGAGCTGGCCTTCACTATAACCCTGGCAGCTGAAGCCTGCTTGGCCATCTTGCATGTGGCCCATTGAGCAGAAAACTGCAGCAACGCTATATCCCATTTACTTCGTGTCCCTCCGTGGCCTGATTTCAGGGGTCCAATAAAGAGGTCTTTGTTTAGTGGAGTCCACCCTAGCTCTGGGGTCACTGAGAGCTGCTCCCTGGCCCGACTTGGTCTGAGGCCACAGGGTTAGGGCAGGGAGGAGGAAGGAGGATGCCACAGGTGGGAAGGAGGCAGCAGGCAGCTCTGCAGGCAGCCAGGCCAGCTCCCAGAAATAAAAATAAGGGAGGGAAGAAAACAAATGCAGCCCTGATCTGGATCCAGGAGAGGGCAAGGCTGTTTCCATCCCTCCCTGGAGGACTTACACCCTTGTCTCCCATGGAAAAGACAAAAACACAGCCCTGGAGATCTCCTGCCATCCGGGCACCAGCCACCCACTGCTCATTGGAAAATGCTTCTACCTGCAGATCTGCTTTTGCTCCTTGTAAGAGAAAAGACTTTCATAGAAAATTTACCAGCAGGGATCTCTTCAGATGCCAGAGGAGTTATTGTCCTACACCCCGTCACTTTTATTGGGTGTTATTTGAACTGGGAGGAAGTAGGAGCCCACATCTCTATTTTGCTTGGATGTGCTTCCTAAATTGCAAGGACATGTTAATGAAATACCCTCACAGCCTGAGGCCTTTGACTCCATCCTGAACCTCCAGGCCCAGAGGTTGTGTTCCTTAGCTACCAAGACCAGGTTTCCAGTGGAGAGGGAGTGGTGGAGTCAGCCCAGGAAGGGGAACACACCCTGGGAGGTCTGGGAGGTACCAGATAGATGGTCAGAAAGTTTTCACAAGTGTGGAGAGCATCGCAGCGCAGGAATGTCACTTTCTGTAGGACGGAAGCCAAGGACCTGAGATGTTAGGGGGACAAGGGAGATGTGACTGGGGAATGCTCAAAGTTTTGGTGCATTTAAAACCTTGGCGTCCAGGAGGCTGGAGCCTGTAGTTACTCAGAGATCTTCTGGCTAGTGCTCTCAAAGCCTTGGCTGTGGAAAAACCCTTTGGAAATGCCTGGCAGGTTGGTTAGGTACATGGATGCCAGAGACCCAGCAGATTCTCTGTCAGGTCTAAGAAGTTGCATGTTTATCAAATTCCGCAGATGGTGCTGAGCCTTGTCATAGTTTGAGAGCCCTTGATCTAGTCCAACCTTGTTCTCTGGAAGTGAGATCTGAAGCCTACACAGGGAAAGCAACAAGCTTAGGGTAACAGCAATTGAAGGCAAAGCTCAAACAGGAGCCCTATGCCCTGCCCCTTAGCCCTAACCCTACAGATCCCAGAGCCCTGCTCTCTCCATCACCATGGGATGCAGCCCCCTCACCTGTTTGCCTGGAGTAAAAGCCTGTACCTTTCTTTGTACCCCTTTGACACCCTGCTGGGTACCTCTCCCTGAAGATGCTGGCTCTGGTCACAGCCTCTGTGGGCCAGGAGCAGATGAAGACACAGGAGAAAGATCTAGTTCTTCTTTGAGCTTGGGTAACAGGTGTGGGGCTGGCAGAGAAGGAGAAAGTGCCTAGTTATACTGAGGGTTATTGGGGTTTGGTTTGCAGTACTAAGAACTGACTTTCATGCCACTGTGCACCAGACTCTGTATCAAGTCCTTTCCATGAATTTAAGCAAATCCCATGGGACACACAGTCATTAGCCCTATTATGCGATGAAGACACTCAGGCTTCCAGGAGTGGTCGCTTGCCCAAGGTCACTTGGCTAAGTAGTGAAACCCCTTCCATGAATGACCATGATTTTTTGTATGACCCAATGTAGGGTGTTCTGCCACCCACAAGCTTGCCAAGGGACCCTGAGACCTTGAGAAAGAAGAGAAGGCTTCTCTGCAATGGGAGAGAACTTGTAGTGGAGAGAACATGCTGCCAAGATTTCTGAAAGATATTAGCTCGGAAGACTGCCTTAGAGAAGACCATGGAAGAGCAGGCTAAACTAAGCTCTTCCCCACCGTCCCCCCTGCCTTAATCTTTTTAGAAGAGAAAGTCCTGGCATCAGGACTTGCTTTCTTTTCTCTTGACAGCCATGTATCCTCTGAATGCTAGCTATTTGAGGGTCTGGGCTCTGGTCAGCTCTCACAGAGCCGCTAGTGTGGCCGCAGGAGAATGTGATTCCCAGCATGTACTGTCGATACCCCTCTGACATCATGGCACATGGCAGTATCAGGACAGCCTCCCTCCATTCATCTTCTGTAGTGCCCCCAGGGGGAGCAAAAGAAATCCAATCAGGACAGTGACTCTCAAGGGTCCCAGGGCTCCCAATCCATGTGGACAACATGTCACTGCCCCTCTTCTAGGGCAACCTCCTAAGCAGACCTCGGCTCCTTCTTTAGAAGAAATCAGGTAGCCTTTTGAACCAATCAGTTGGACCACCAGACAAAAGAAGAGTAGCACATTTTCCTGGGTGAGGAAGGGCTCAATTCCATCTTAGTAGGACCTGTGTCCGGAAGCTGAAGTGAGGGACAATTATAATTTAAATCTGGGCATCCAAGAAATCACGAGCCAGTAACATTTAGGGTGAAAGCTGAGAAAGTGTGACCCTCTGGCCATCTTCCTTTGCTTTCCAATCCTAAGCTTTAGCTAACTTAAAGACTGGTCAGGGCTAGGCAGCTGGAAAATGCTCCTGTTAGCAGATCCTGAGGGGGTGTGTTGAGGAGATGGTCATTAGGGCTGAGAGAGGCTGGGGGGAGGAGTGGGAGAGAGAAGGGGAGGAGGCTGCCTCTGCAAAGCCCTTGAGAAGCGTGGCTTTCTGCAAGCGCCCTGGAAATGCTGAATGAAAGCTGCCTTCCTGCTGCCTGAATGCCGCGTCTGCGGTAACTACAAACTATTTTGTATGCTGCATTAGTGACGCTGCCTCAGCCAGCACATTGCTACTACTGAAATAACGCCGTGTGATGCTCAAGTCCAGTGTCCTTTTTAATTATTAAACCCAGGCTGTCGAGTGAGTCATCCCACATCCCAGCTTTTCCTCCAGTGGTTCTATTTCTAGGGACTAGTATCTTAGCATGTTCCACTAACACCTGAGTTGGTTCTTAGCCAGATGCCCAATCTGCAAAGCCTTTGCAGAGCAAACAATATTCTCCAATCTCCAAACACACATAGTTTGATTAAAAAAACAAAACAAAACACCAGAACCAAAACCCAAACAAAACAACTTTACAGCAGCAAGCTCATCAGGAGGAAACTGGAGATCCAAAAATGCCCGGTTGCCTCCCCCCCCGCCACGGTGCCTCGACTTACCCAGTGGGAGCGCGATGAAGAAGGGGAGCCAGCAGAGGATGAACATACCGACCACAATGCCCAAGGTCTTGGCTGCTTTCTTCTCCCTGGAGAACTTAAAAAGTTTGACAGCTATGGAACTCCTGGGGTTGTGGCCCTTAGCCTTGGTACTGCTGAGCGTGTCCTCATGAAAGTTCTTGGAGTGGATCCTCAGGGTCAGCTCCTTGGAGTTGGACATTTCCTTCATGACTCCGGCCTCCAGGTTCTTGGTGGTTCTCTTGGCCACGACGTAGACGCGGCAGTACATGACCAGAATGACCGCCAGCGGGATGTAGAAGGAGCCCAGGGAGGAGAAGAGGGCGTAGAAGGGTTCTTCGGTGACCCCGCATTCCTTGTCATCGTTGGGTGCTGGCTCCTTCCACCCCAGGAGGGGCCCGATGGAGATGACCGTGGACAAGACCCAGACACTGAGGAGCGCCAAGATGGCCTTCCTGCGGGTCACCAGCGTGGGATACTGTAGGGAGTAGCGTACCCCGATGTAGCGATCGATGGAGATGGCGCACAGGCTCAGGATGGAAGCTGTGCAGCAGAGGACGTCCACGGCCGCCCAGATGTCACAGAAGACCCGTCCCAGCACCCAGTAGCCCAGCACCTCCAGGGTAGCAGAGAAGGGCAGCACAGTGAAGCTCAGCAGCAGGTCGGCGATGGCCAGGTTGACGATGAAGTAGTTGGTGGGCGTCCGCAGGTGCCGGTTGCAGGCCACAGACAGGATGACTAGGATGTTGCCCACGATGGCAAAGAGGATGAAGGCGCCCAGCACCAGGCCCACGGAGATGGCCCTGGTGATGTCCAGTTGGGGCAGCGTGGAGTTGCTCGAGGTCTGGTTAGGGCCAGTGAAGTTGGCATCTTTCAACTCTCCCCAGTGGGCAGGTGCTGATGTGTTGTGGCCGGGGTCCAGGTCGGGATTCATCTTAGAGTCCGCCCTCCATAGCCAGGGGGGTGATTGGGCTGGAAGGGCTGCGGCTAAGGCTCTTCAGCTGCCCCGAAACTTTGCTGCCCCCGTGGTCGGCTTTCCCGAGGCGCCTTCCTGGCCAGAAGTCATCTCCGCGGGCCGCTCAGCCCGGCAGCACGTCTCCTGTCTCCACCAAGCCGCTTGCCGGCTCGCCTGTCAGAGGGAGGAGGAGGAGAGAGGGGACGAGGCGGCAGCTCCAAGTTTAATGGTCCACGTCAGGCGCGCCGGCCGGGCTGGCGACGGCGCGGGGCGCAGGGGCGCAGGGCGACGGCGCGGGGCGCAGGGGCGCAGGGGCGCGGGGGCGCAGCGCAGGGGCGCCCAGCTCGCCGGCCCGCAGCGGGTCTGCGGCCAAAGGCGCCTACGCCCAGCAGCGCCGAGGAGGGTCTGCTTTCAATGAGCCGCCTCTGGGCTGACTGCTCGGCGGTGACATCAGGCGGGGGAGCCCGGCGCCCTGACTCCGCGCGGCACTAGGGGGCAATGCGGGTCCAGCCAAAGCTCCCGCAGCCCCGACGCCGCCACTCAGACCCGCCGCGAGCTCCCCCTCCACCCAACCACCGCGCGACCCCTTGGGCAATCCTGGAGGCTGGGTGGGAGGGAGGAGAGCGCCCTGGGCGTGGAGATCACCCTGGCCCCACCCCAGGTGGCCCACTAGGATGATTTTCCCTCCAGTTTTAAAAGTGAGGTCTGGAAGTACTTACCTCTGGTGGGCAGGGACAGCTGGAGCGAGCCCCCAGATTTAGGGGGAGATGCAATTTGTGCAGTACCTAGAAGAGGAAGAAGTTCAGGCAGGTGGGAGGCAAATCTGAGACCAGTCCGCATCCTTTACCCTCCTGTGAACTTCTGGTTTCATAAGAAAACTGTGAGGCCTCATTCATTCATTCATTCATTCATTCATTCATTCATTCATTCACAGACGCACTCATTCCTCATTCACTCATTCGATCACTCACCACTCATTCACTGAATACCCCCTGCTTGCCCCAGCCTCAGTGCTAGGTGCTGTGGGCGTAAGGATTAAGGGAAGTACGAGTGAGAACCGCTGCCCTCCAGAGCCCAACTTCTATGAGGATGACAGGCAATGAACAGAAGTAAGAGGTAAGTAAGAGATGTGTCCTGTGAAAACGGGTGCTACTGAGAAAATTAAGTGAAAAGAAGAAGAATGAACAGTGTGTGGGGGGGCTGGGGGGTTGAACATTTTAATTGGGCGCTTGGGGAGTGGTTAAAGTGTCAAGTCCTGAAAAAGCTGCGGGACAGGCCAGTGGGCCTTCTTGGGATGGGGAAAGAGACCTGTTGATTCTTCTCCCCTTTACCTGATATCTGTGTTGGACACTCAGCTATGGGGACATACTCCCAGTGGTGGGCTAATGGGACTTAGGAAGCATGGTAGGGGTTGTAGGAAGCCGAGGGACATCCTTATGTTAGTCAACAGGTCTCCCACCTAGGTATGTCCCAGGCAGTATCTCATCACCCTGTGACAGAAAGAAAGACTGTTATCATCATTCCCATTTTGTGCATGGGACACCAGGGTAGAGTGAAGTGAACTCTATGTCCAAGTCCAAGAAGAGGAAGCTGGGAACCGAACCCAATTCTGGGTCTACCCAAAGTCGGACACTTAGCTCCAGTGGCGCATTTCCTCCCTGGGACCAAAGAAGGGGGTGGATTTTTTTCCCAGATTTATTGAGATATAATTGATATATAACATTTTATAAGTTGAAGTAATGCAGTGTATTAACCCACATTTCTGTATTGCAGAATGATCACCAACACAGCCTTAGCTAATGGGTCTGTCATGTCACATAATTATATTTCTTTTTTGTGGTGATAGCATTTAAGACCTTCCAGTAGCAACCTCCAGGTATATATTCCGTGTTAACACTGGTCACCATGCTGTACCTGGAATGTACAATGCTGTAAATTCCCCGAAATGTATTCATCTTGTCACTAGAAGTTTGTCCCCTTTGGCCCACATCTGTCCCCCACTGCCCAAAGCCTTGGTTCTGGTCACTGCTGCTCAGATATGTTTCTATGAGTTTCAATGGCTTTTTTCAGATCCCACATATAAGAGATATTATATAGTGTTTGGCTTTGTCTGTGTGATTTATTTCAAATAACTTACTGAGTTCAATGTAGATCCATGTTAGTGGTGCTAGTGGCAGGGTATCTTTTCTCATGGCTGAATAATATTTCATGTGCATATATACATATCGTATCTTCTTTATTTACTCTTTCACTGATGGACACTTGGCTCGTTTTTACATTTGTTGTGGTGAATGATAATGTCACAATGGACATGGAATGGCAGGTATCTCTGAGATCAAAGGTTATCACTTTGAGATCCTGTTTTGGATAGATAGCAAGAAGTGGGACTTTTAGATGAGATGGTCATTTTACTCTTAACTTTTTGAGCAACCTCTGAATTATTTTCATAGTGTTGATATCAATTTATATTTGAGGTAAGGAGTGGATTGACTGTTAGAGATGGAGCTGTCTTCCAAGTAGTAAATGTTGGGACCTGCGCTATTAAGTGCTGGGAGGGAATTTATATTTATTGAGCTTCTACTGATAGCCAGCCACTTACTCTTTTTCTTTTACTCTTTACAACGATCCTTTAAGAGAACCATAAGCATTTTCCTTTAACAATGAGAAAACTATGGTAGAGTTAGTACATTCCTGAGGTCAGGTGGTTAGTAAACCCGTGGAGGAGCAGTGGGCAGAGACAGCTGGAGACTGGAAAGTGAAACCTAAAGCCTGCATTGAGGGCATTCTGCCTCTTGCCCTCGGCCATCACTGTGATGGCTTCAGAGTGGGCACCAGGAAATCACTTAGGGTGATTTGCACTTGAAGTTCCTCATACAGGTAAATTCTTAACCTCTTTCTATTTTTACATTATTTTTAGGGGGTTCAGGTATCACACACCTATCTAAGGCTTTAATCTTCTTTCACCAAAGTACACAATTTCCAAATGCACAAAATCCACACTTACAATGTGTTCTCTGAGCTTAAGAAACCTGTTGAAGAGACAGCTCTGAAAACAGATATTTTTTCTGCTTCAATTAAACTGGCTTATGTTGTATTTGAAAGTTTTAAACTCAAAGATTCACATGTTTATAAAGACTTACTGTTCAAGAACAATGAGAGCCCTTGCTGTACACCTTTCTATGTGGGACGTAGTGTCAGGGTGGAGGGGATGATGGTGGTCAAACCACACCCCTCTGCCTCGCAGAGCTGTGCTTCTTGCCTCCCCAGAGGGAAGCCGGCATAACAGCCACTCGGGACTTAAACAGGTCCATGAGGCTGGAACCACTGGGCAGTTCTTTGCCAAAGTCTTTATGAAGGAAAGAGACTGTTCTTGGTCCTGGATCTCCTCGAGCCCCTGGAAATGGTATCTGGAGGACTCTGGAGGTCTTCCAGTTCCAGGTGGCCAAGCTCCCTCATTGAATAAGGAAGCATCTGAGGGGACTCCCCACCCCTTTTCCACATACTGTATACAGTGGTGGTGGGAATAGGGTGCTGGGGATTCGGTCCCCACCATTACCACGGATCTTCCAGTCTAGTATGACGGGGCTTCTTCACTACGTTACTCCAAGGAGAAGTGGAAAGAGGAAGATAATGCTAGTAAGCTGGCAGAAGGCTGGCAACTGGCACAAAGGCAGAGATGTGGGGAGTGAAGAGGCAGGACAGGATGAAGAGCAGTCTCTGAGACCACATGTTGGTCGTGGTGGCATTTTACACACTTCCCTGGGCATTAATTTCACCAGCTATCGAACAGTCAGCAATACCCACATTGCATTTACAGAGACCCTGACGACACAACCGCAGAAAACAGTGGCAAGGTGAACACTCAGCCTATCAGACATTTCTCGATGGTGGCTAAAGGCCAGAAAAGAAAAGAGCAAATCTGAGATTCAGGGTGGCTTCACACTTGTTATGAAAGAGAATAGTTTGTTACCTAGATGAGAATTATGTCTTGATTCAGGCCTCAGGATTGAGCCAGACAGAGAGGTTCAAAATCCTTGTAGAGTTCAGACATAGTGTCATTTACTGGCGCCTTCAGTGGAGGCAAAGCAAACACCCCACCATAGGCGAACAGGTCTTCACCATGTAATAGGACCCCACTAAGGGTCCTTCCTGGGAGCTCCTCTCTTTCTTCACTGGAGATGCTCTTAGCCCCTCTGGCTTGATATATGTCCATTGGAATTGACCATTTGTTCAGGTGTCATGAGGGTGCAGACGATATTTCATTTTCTCGGTACTCCCTGGGGCAAAGCCAAGCATAGAGCTCTGACTCATTCGAGGCTTGGAAAAGAAGAACCTTTTCATTATCCATCTGATTACATTAGAAGCCTCTGATGTTGCAAGCTCCCATTTCTGTGAGCTTTCTGGAGAAGCTGCTACTGACTTTGACCAGTGGGGAGACAGACGCCATAAGCAACCCGGAGATCTGTGGAGATCTGAGAAAGGACATTGTTCACCCGTGAATGGGCAGTGGGCATGGTTCTCCCTCTCTGACTCACTCCTGTTTTCAATCCAACCAGTCACCTATCAGAGCACCTACTGTGTGTAAGGCACTGTGCTAGGCACACAGGCATGAATCAAAGAGGAATGAGGTCAAGAGCATGGAACCTTAGTGCTATCTAAGTGTCAAGGGAGCCGATGGTGGGGAGTCCAGCTATTGTGTGCCATTCACATTGCTGGGGGTTCCATGATGGGGCTTGAATCTTCATCACAATGCAGGGTAAGAATGACCCCCTACTTTACAAATGAGGAAACTGAGGTTCAAAGAGTTTCTGTGACATAGCCAAGCCCACGCATTAAGCAAGCAGCATTGGTATTCAAAGCATTGTTGTCTGCCTCCAAAGCTTGCATCCCTCTCTCTGCACCAGACTGAGATTAAAAAAAAAAAAAAAAAGGCAGCAGAAGGTTCAGTGTTAGCCCTGAAGGAAATCACAGCAGAGGCCAGAATGTGACCAGGGTCCCGAATGAGGCAGAGGTCAAGGAGGGAAGGGCCAGGAAGAACTGTCCAGGAGAGAAGGTTCCAACAAGGACTTAAGAGGTCAGCCTTTCTTGGTCACAGACCAGCAGTCGTTGGTTGGACAGTCATTCTGGGTTCTAAGCCCACTTCCATCATT